GCAGCACTTTTGTTTCACAGAAAGATTTCGCCTTTCCCAGAGTGCTTGGCTCAGAGTCCTGGGAATGTGCCCTCCCTGTTCCCAGAGCTGTCCCCATGCCCTGCCTGCAAGTGCAGGGCACTGCTGGCCTCCACTTTAGACCCTCCTTGCACCAGAGCCAGTGCTCTGCGAATCGAGGCCCACCTGTCGTGTTGTAGCACCATCAGCAATTAGTGACAGTTCATTGGAGTCCAATTAATAAATGAAACCAGGATGAGAGCCCATCGCTTTGCTGAGAATAACAGCCCTGCTCATGCCTTAAGTGGCAGCCTCCCGAGAGCTCAAAACCCACGGGACCGCCGGCCGCCTTAGCCCTGGGGGCTGGGAGGCAGCATGGAGTGGGGGCTTGTCTGTGGCTGCTTTCTGGGGAAGCGGGCAGGGGGGGAGGGAGCTTCAGACCTGACTGTCCCTGCCTCACACCTCAGCTCCTCCTCAGAGGAGCCCCTGGCTCAGCTCCCTGCCCGGCAATCCCAGGGCAGCGTGGCCAGGCCAGAAGTATGCGGGCGGGCCTTTCCCCTCCTGCCTGCTGCCCTCAGAGGACACTGCCTGTGGCCATGAAGAAAAGGGACTCGAGAGGGAACTCAGTCAGGGAGGACCACAGCCTCTCTCCTGACCGCCCCAACCCACGCTCCCAACCACCGCACCCTCCCATGACCTGCCTGCGAGCCCACCGCATCCCAAGCCTCAGGCCTTCCCCTCCACGTGAGGAAGTCCTCCTCTCCCTGCTATTCACACCTGCCTCTGCCAGGAAATCTCCCCTCACCTGTCCAGCCCAGGTGAGGTCAGAAACACAGGAATCCAGCTTTGGCCACCCCATTCAGATGGCTGTCTCTGCAGAGACCCACTCCTCCACTCCTGTCCCTGTTGCATTAGCTCGGGCTCCTGGGCTGGGGAGAGGTCACTGGGATTTTCGGAGCCTTCTGGGGTGGAGGCAGGCCTATGGCCTGGGAACCTGGCTGCTACTTGGACTTCTGGAGGGTGCGAGCGGCTGATCTCCCTGGCCCGGAGCTGGCGTGGAGGATGCAGGTGGAGGGAATTTGCCCTGACTTCTCAGGACACATTGAGGCCAAACCACAGCATCCTGGCAGCTGGCCCGAAGGCTCTTAATCTGAACCTGGCCCCCCACCTCCCTCTCAGATTCCCAGGTGAGCCAGCAACAGGCCTGTGATGGACCAGGCCAAAGGGCTGCAACACCTCTTGACCCACCATCCATCCACCTAAAGGCCTGACTTTGCCCATCCTCAATGCCTGTCTGACTGCTTCCTTCCCCAGTGCTTCTGGGCCAGCCCTCCGGTCTTTCAGGATCTGGGAGCCTGCCCAGCAGCCAGAACAGACATGAATTGGGGCTCTGCCCTTTCCTTCACTCTCCTGGCAGCTGCCCTGGAGTTGGCACTCAGGACTGGACAGGCACCCGTGTACTGGGCGTCTAAAGCCCTGCGGGAGGAGGCCACACTTTTACTGCTGTTCCTGTTTTGATGCTTGAAGAGGAGCCAGAGACCAGAGGACAGGCAGGGCGGTGGGGCAGGTGGACTTAGGTGCAAAAAGAAGACCTAGGCTGGCAGCCTGGGGGCATGGGGTGGGTAGTGAGCATGGGCATAGCATGGCACTCAGACCTCCGGGCGTGTGTGCTCTGGCGACAGGGTGGGGGTGGCCCTCCCTCTCTCCCACAGCAGTGGCCTGTGTTTTTCTGCTGCTCACCTCTGCTCACAGCTGCAGCCCTGGGGAATCAGACAACACATTTTCCCTTAGTCATGACCTTGTAGAAGGAAAGCCAAGTCCTTCTTGTTCCCTCCCACCCACTCACAGCTGCGCTTGGGCCTGGCCTCCCACCACCGGCTGCTGGGTGGAGCCCTCCTCCCACCCCCCCAGGGATGCCTGGCTTGAGACTGGAGTTTGTCAAAGACACACACACCCCTCTAGCAGCCTGGGGGTGGCCTGGGTTGGGGGGTGGTTCCCATTTTCCCCAAAGGTTGGGCCCAGGACGGTTGCACTGTGTCTGTGAACATAACCCCAGTCCCCACCCTGGTGTGGCTGCCCTGCTGTGGCTGGATTAGGTCTGAGCCACCCACTAGCACCCCCTGGCCCTAACTGCCTGGAGCCAAAACCAGGGCAGGACCCTGGGGACAGGGAGGGAGGACAGACAGTCTGCGGAGAGGCCTGGGGAGGTAGGCCTTGCAGAGGTCCCCCAGGGCTCTGAGACTGCACTGGCAGGCGGAGCTCCTCAGGGCCTGGGGAACCTAGAACAGCCAAATGCCCAGCTGGAAGTTCAGAAAGGAGCTGAGAGCAGGGAGTGAGCTGACCCTTCTATTCTGCACGGAATCAGAGGTGGCTCTTGCTCTGCAGTTTCTAGAATAGTATGAAGGCCCAGAGCAGTCAGCGGTGCCAGGAAAAGCTGTTATCACCCTGACAGCTTCCCTCCACCTGCTAAAAGCACCCCCTTCCCCTGGGGCCTCCCCTCCTAGTGCTTCCTCAGCACTCACCTAGACCTCTTTTGGGGGAATTCAGGGGAGGGAAAGAGAGGCAGCCTTGCTTAACCCTTTCTTTGCCAGAGGGAAGCCAGTGGCCTAGGCTCCCTTGCCTTGCCCCCAGCCGGTCCCCACGCTTTTGCCCCTGGAATTCCTCTGTGACTCCCAGGAGCTTTCCAGAGAAGGGGGGGACCTGAGGCAGCAGAGGTCAGGAGGGTAGAAGACAGGCTGGCAAGTGCAGGACATGGGGTCCAGCGTGGCTCCTATCACTACGCTGCTGTGACCTCATGCCCTCAGTGTGTCTTCTCCCCACACATGGAGCCACTGGAAGACCTGGGACGCCCCAGGGCCGAGCCTGTGCAGGAGCAGGAGCAGGAACAGGTGTGGTGCGATGTTCGATGTTGTTCTGGTGTAGGACGGGTGTGCCCCGCACACACCCTCAGCGCTTCACCTTTCTGCTCCTGCCCACTGTCCCTGGACTGCAAGGCCCTGAGAAGGGAGGCAGGCATGCGCACTAGCCCGGCAGGGGCAGACCCCGGCCTGATGGCAGAGGGGCTGCGAGAGCCCTGAGGTCTCTGACTCTGGGAGGCTGGAGGAGGGGGCACCAGCCAGAGTGGTGGAGGAGCTCAGATTTCAGGAGGAAGGGACCATGGGGGTGGGGCTGAGCACCCCTCCAGCCTGGCAGCCTCCCTCGCCCCCCATGCCCTGTGGGAGCACATTCTGCGGGGCCTGAGGGGCGGGATGTGAGAGGGGCTGGGCTGTCCCCTCTTCCCCTGCGTGCGGCCCCAGCCATTGTGTGTCACAAACGCGGTAATAGCATGAACTGGGGCTTCCTGCGTGCCGTGTAACCACTCCGTGCGCGAGGCTCGGTTTATGGGCAGGACCCAAGGCTCAGAGGGCGACCGTCCAGCCAGGATAAATGCGGGCTCAAACCCAGTTCTCAGTGACTCTTCCCAGGAGTCCACACCTTGGCCAGAGCAGCCAGAGCCCCAGCGCTGGGGCGTGGGGGGAGAAGCGAGGCCGCCGAGGCTGAGCTCTCCAGTGCTGTGAGGTGGTAAGAAGGAATTACATTTATAATTTAATAATTAAAAGTCATCATCATTATTAACACTTTATGGCCCTTAACAATGTGCCAGGCTGTACACATGAAAACGCATTTCATTCCCACGACAGACCTGCGGGTTGGGTGCCATTATCCACCCCATTTTATAGATAAGGAAGTGAGGCACAGGGAGGTTATGCACCTTACCCAGAGTCACACAGCTAGTACAGGGTAGAGCAGGGACTCGGAACCCAAGTGGTCTGATTCTATGACAATCATTGCGTCACACTGCCTCCCCATCGAGGCAGAGTGGGAGTCCTCAGCTGACCACTGGAGCTTGGAGATGGGACTCCCACAAGAAATGGTGACCACAAGAGCAGGACTGTATGAGTGGGAGCAAGGAGCCAGGCCACGTGTTGCTTACGTCTAAAGGACCGAAGCGGCAGGGAGGAGCAGGCTGGGCTGGGAAGGTGCTGGTGCTGCTCATGCACAGGCGGGTTGGACCTGAGCTTCTGGGCCAACTCTTCTGCCCCATGCTCCATTTGGGGGCTTTAGGGTGGGCCAAGGGCTGGAGAGGATGCCACCTTCACCTCCCCCCTGGGACACCATTTGTGCACCAGGCCTGCCCTCCTGGGCACCCTCTGCTGCTGCAGGTGACGTAGCAGTGCCGTCCACAGCCTGACACGACCACCTCTTCAGCACAATGTGAGCTCTCTCACCGAGCTGGTGACTGCTCTGGATCTCAGGACACTTAGCCCACATTCCTGTGGGGTGCAGTGGGGTGCAGAGGGCCCCGCTCCCGCCTCACCTTGGGCAGCCTGGCTGTGAGCAACTTGAGTGCTTGAGGGCTGGAAAGCCCTCACCCCTGCCCCCTGCCCCCTGTCCCCTGCCCCCTGCCCCCTGCCCCCTGCCCCCTGTCCCCTGCCTCCTGCCCCCTGCCCCCCGTCCCCTGCCTCCTGCCCCAAGCCCTGCACGCATTGGGCACCGCCAAAGGCCTAGCATGTGTGTGCTCCGCGGAAAGGGCTTGGAGCCGGGGGAGCTGGGCCGGAAGCTCAGGGCAATGACAGTCAGGAGAAGGGAATGTAGAGGAGAGACTGGCGGGGAGTCCCTACACACACGCACCTGCTAGGGAGCACCCTGCCAGCCCCCCAAGGGGCAAGAAGTCAGACGGGCAAGGCGTCCACTCCCACCCCCACCCTGCCCTGAGCCTCTGGTGCCTGTCTGAGTGAAGGCTTCAGCAGTGGCCAGCGAGACAGTATGGTCACCGGGCAGGCAGGGCAGCCGAGGGGAGAGGCCTGGTGTCCCCTGGGTCTGGGGTGACATGAGTGTCTACCCGTGGGAGGGAGCTCTCCATGTTCTGTCCACCTCTTGCTCAGATTCATGGGCAGCGGGGTCTGGGTGGGCAGGCAGCAGGCACGACCCCTCCCTCTGACCCCCTGCCCTTCCCTCCCCAGGAAAAGCACATCGGAGGATGAAAACTACCAGACCTCCAAGGCAGTCACATCTGTGACCTCGAAGCCCACCAGAGACCCCATCTGGGGGGACACTGTGAAAGTGGAGATCCAAGCGGAGGACGCAGGGCGGGAAGGTGAGGCTGGGGCGCGGGGGTGTGAGCACAGACCTGCCGGGGACGAAGCGGCCCCCTCAGCTCAGCTGGCAGCCACCTGGATGTCTCTGTGGGCTCCGTTAAAAGCACTTTTAAAAAATCCTAATACTGTCACGCCTCATCTCCCCAGTCTGCTCGAAAAATGAGTTGTTACACATAAATGAATTTTCCAGACAATGTAAGCTTACCTTTTTTATGTCTGCTGTTATTATTTTCATGGTTATTATCACCATCCCCCACTGAAATGGCACATTAAGCTTCATGGCACGTCCCCACGCATCACTCGCTGGAGTCCGCGCCTCCCAGGAGGGGCAGTGCTGCTCCCACTGCCCAGGGGAGGACGTTGAGTTCGGATTTAAACAGCTGGCCTGAGCTCCAGTACTCAGTGAGCAGAGGCCTCGGCATTGCGTGTGCTCACTGTGGCTCCCATGTTCCAGCTGCCTCAACTGGATTTTTTTTTAAAATGCTTTTAACGTCCCTAGAATGGATTCCTGTCGCTGCCTAGTCATCCCCGGTCTCAGCCCAAGCCGCCAGGTCCCTGTGTACACACATGCCTGTGCACGCCTGGTTCCCACTCTCGTGGGCAAGCTCAGGCGGGCGCACGGGAGTACGGGCTGGCGCTGGGGCGGCTGTGGCACCAGTGTCCGGCGTGGCCAGCACAGACCAGCAGTGCCCAGCGACGTCTCTGGTCTTGCCTAGTCAGAAGCAGCTCAGGCTCACTTCTCGCCACAGGCTCTCCTACAGAGGACAGGCTGCCCTCCCCTTAAAATCTTGCCAGGGACCCAGACAGACTCCTTCGCCTCACAAAGAGCAAAAAGCTGGCAGCTGGGGGCTGGGAGGGGAGAGAGGAAACGGGAGCAGCCTCCACAAAGGGGGTCTGATTGTGGGTCAAGCCGGAGAATTCTTTTTCTGCCTGTAAAGGGATAGGTGGAGCTGTTGGGACAGTTTCAGAAGACATGGAAGAGGAGAAAAAATTGACCTGGGATTTCATGCAGAGGCACGTGCCAGTGTGTGCCTGCCTTTGTGAATGCCAGCATGCCGGTCCGTGTGTGTGTGTGTGTGTGTGTGTGTGTGTCTGTGTCTGTGTCTGTGTGTGCATGAGTGTGTCTGGCTGCAACGGTGTGTTGTGTGCTTGCCTGGACGTGTCTGGATGGTAGTGTGCACCCTGCAGCGCATAGGTATGTGTAGACTGTGTGTGTGCGTGTGTGTGTCATGCATGCATTTATGTGGCTGGGGGGAAGTTAGGGGCTGTGGTAAGTGGACCTGGGCTGGGATCCTGCCCTGGGCTCTACACACCCAGGACGATAGAGGGAACAGTATGTCAGGGTCGTCAGCCCTTGGGCCCATCTGTGCAGCAGGGAGGGGCAGGACTAGCTGCAGGGGGCTAGCAGGGCGGGGGCCGCAGGGGCAGGCAGGGAACACTGGCAGGTCCTCTCTGCAGATTGAAGTGGCTGGATGCTTGTTGGAACCCGGTTGGAACCGGTTGCTGTGGTGATGTCTGCTGTGGGGGTGGGGAATATGGGGGCCAGGCCAAGAGGTGGGGGAGGGTGGGAGGCAGCTCAAGGATGTGTTAATGAAAAGCAAAGGGGAGTTTCAGACCCTGCATCAGGGCCAAAAGCAGGCAGGCGACAGAAATGGCTTGTTGGCCACACAAAGAAAGCAGTAGGAGGCCGGAAGGGCACAATGCCCAGAGAGGAAGCTGATGAAGCGTGTTTGTGGCATGGAGACAGGAGCAGGAGGGTGGCTGTCCATCCCCCCAATTTCAGCTCATTGCTGGCTGCCCGCACAGAGCTCCAGGAACAGGGCTGGGGGTGGGAAGGACACAGGGCACTCACCTCTCGCTTGACCTCAGCAAATCCCAGCCAGACCTGGGCACCTAGGGTCCATGGGGAAAGGGCCGGAGGGGCTGCAACCTGCACAGACTCTGGAGCTTTGGCTGGGAGGGCTGGAATCCCCCAGCTGAGTGTCCTCAGTCCCCGAGTGGGGCGCGTGTATGGAGAGCCGCAGATGGTTAGCAAGGAAGAAAATAGTGACAACCACAGGAGCATTTGCACAGACCTTTATAGTGTGAAAAACACACTCCCCTCCCTACGGCAACCCAGGGGAGAGACGAGGTGTTTCTTTCTTACAGTATTAACATTCTGCAGAGCAGGAACATGAGGCTCAGACAGGGGAAGTGACTCGATAAAGGTCCCAGTTAGGGTCTTGGTACTAGAACCCAGGCCTGCCAACTTCACACCCTCACCTCGGTCTACTTTCTTCAAGCCAACCTCAACACCGTGGGTGCCCTTGCCTACTCTTTACTTTGAGCAGGGATCCCATGTGGCTAGGCTCTTGGAAGTCTTTGGCAAGTTTCCCTCTCCGAGTGTTCAGGTTAGCTGTGGGGAAAGGGAGAAAGAATAGTTAGGAAATCCCTCAGCTTCCTCCTCCACCCCACATCCAAATGGCCCCTCTAGCTCCAAGTGACCCAGATGCTGAGCTCACCACTGGGCCTCCAGCCTGCAGAGCCTTCTGGGGCCAGCAGCTGTCCCTGGTGCTGAAATGTCCTCATCTCAAGCAGAGAGGCAGGGGCTCCCCAGGGGTTCCCTCAGGCACCCCTCTCCATCCCCATCCCCCTTCCTATTCTTCCCTAGCTCTTTGTTTTATCTCATTTTGTCCTCCTCCCTCTCTCTCTCATTTCTCCCTCACCTTTCTCTTCCCTTCCCCCTTCCCAGTATCTCTTGTTCCTCCTCAAAGCATAGATTTCCAGAATGGAAAGATGCCACAAGGGCCACCAAATCCAGCTCCTCCCATCATCCCTTTCCTAGCTCTGTGATGTTGATCAAGTCGCACAACCACTCTTAGCCTCGTCGTTCATACTTTAAAAACAGAGATGGTGACGGCCTACTTGAGGGTGGTGGCAGGGATTCGCTGGAGTAGAGGCTGTGGAGTGCTGTCCTCATGCCTGGCACGCAGTGAGCACTCACTAAGCAGGACCACCATGACTGTTTCCAGGACACTGGTGTTCTTCTTACAGTTCACCCCAAAGTTCATGCCATCTTTGGCATGGTGGTCTCTTTGGAGGGCCTTTACTAAGTGGTGCATTATTATTAGTGTTTAATTTTCATTCATTTGTAGTAGACTTTTGTTAACAGTTGCACTAAGGAATTTCTTGAGTGGTCACTTTTTGTTACTGACAGTCAGTTTCCCCACATGCAACATCTGGAAGGTAATTCTCTCCCCTTCCCTTCTTGCCTGTGGAGCTGGTGAGAGTGTTTATGACCAAGGGAGGGGGCCTTATTCCTGGACAGGGGCACTATACCTGCTTGCCTGCACATCCCTGTGTGTGTGCGCATGTGTGTCTGTTGCCCTGGGGGCTGAGCTCCATTCTGTGTGTCTCTCTCTGGGCTGGGAGTTTCTCAACCACAAGAGGGAATTGCACGTTGGGGTCCTAACAGCACCTGGCATGGAGCCCTGCCCAGTTCAGGGGCTCAGATAGTGCTCGTGGGGCAGTGTGTGCCTGTGTGACCCACACGTGTGCATACATGCGTTGATTCCTCAGTGTGGTCCTGCTCCCTGCTCCCGGCAACGCCTCTCGCCTCTCATCGTCTCACCTGGCTGGGAGGGAAGCTGGGAAGTTAAGGCCTGTCCTGACTCCTGTTTTCTCTTTCCAGATGTGGTCATCAAGGTGGTAGACAACAAGAAGAAAGAGGAATTGTTGTCCTACAAAATCCCCATCAAGTACCTGCGTGTTTTCCACCCCTACCACTTTGAGCTGGTGACGGTGAGTAAGGGACCATGTGGGGCTCAAGAAGGATTTCTCCTGACCCATAGCAGGAATTCTCCAAATTCATCTCTGTAAAACAGCCCAGTTAGCATAGAACAATGATACCACATTAAACGAATGCACCCATTAAAGATATATTCAATTTCATAAAAGTTAAAGGAGGGCTAGATCTAACAAACAATATATCAAAGAATATATTGAAATGATAAATCAAAGAAACAATACTGGCAGAGTACCTACTGCTTCCAGGCCCTGCGCTAGACGCCTCACACACCATCTCCAAACCTCAAGGCAAATACATTCTGCAGACATGGGACTGGGGCTCGGGGGAAGGACTCTTCCCCTCGTGGGTGGCAGAGGGTCAAGGGCGAGCCCAGGGCATGATGTCTTCCAGCTGGTTCTGTCTGTGCTCCCCATGCTTCTCCACATGCTGCCTTGGCAGGCAGGCCCAGGAGGGTTGGAAGACGTGAGGGATAAAGCATTCCCGGGAACGCTGAGTGGGCAGCTGGGCGCGAGCTTGGAGGGGGGAGCCTCAGACCCCTCAGTCCACAGCCTGGACCTCCCAAGCTGGGCCCTCTGCCTGCCCTCCCCGCTGGTGCTGAGCAGTAGGGAGCAGAATTCACTTTCTCATTGCTCAAGTAGTCAGGAAGTACCTACTACGTGCCAGGCACTGGGCTGGAGATGAGCACAATTGTCACTTTCCCCTCCTGCCATGTGCACTCCAGCCCCCTGCAGTGGTCGAGAGTACAGAGCAAGGTAAAGCCAGCCAGTCTGGGCACCCACCCCAGGCCTGCTGCCCACTGGCCGGGTACCCCTTTGAAGCCACTCAACCCCAGGCCTCCACCCTCATCAGCAAAGCTGAGACAGGTACCCCTGCCATGGCCATTTGGAGGATCCAGTGCAGTGATGGGCAAGGTGCCCCACACATAGTAGGTGCTCGGTTCAGTTTCCCTCCTCCCTCCCTCCTCCAGGCACTGGAACTGACCTTTTGTCCAAGCACCTATTCAACCATGGCCCCAGGGATGTTTATCTTCCCTTAGGCCCCAAAGGGGACCCCAATCCCAGGGCTTCAGGGTAAGGCACCAGGGCCGGGCAGGGGCTCAAAGGCCCGGAGAGATGAGCGACTTGCCCTGGGAGACGCAGCACTTCAGCTGTAATGCTGGGAGTGTCACCCAGCTCCCCTGGCTCTGTGCACCGACGACCCAGGCCTTGTTATCGCATCCTCGCCAGAGAGCAGCAGGCAGTGGTCCCTGCTAGGGCGATGAAATATTCAAATGGAAAAGGGAAGATTTATTCTATCGATCTCCTTGAAGGGCTCACAGGGACCGTGAGCTTTAATTACCAGCTCAGAGCCCCGGTGGAGCAATGCCAAGTGACTGTCTGCAGAGGGCTGGATTTATGGCCAGGGTCTGCCCCTTAGACACTCTCCTTCTTGTGTGTCATCTTCCCCCACCGTCTCCAGCCTGCCCAGTCTGGGAAGGCCGAGGAAGACACTGTCAAGAGCAAACTCTACGCCACGGTGGTTCGGAAGTGTAGCTTCATCCCCCGCTACATCGGCTGCAGCCACACAGCTCTGGAGGTAGCAGGGCGGGGCCCCGGGGACAGGGGTGTGGGAGGGGTTAAGCTTTGAGCCGACCTGGGCCCTGCCCCTGGCCCCTCTGGCTGGCCTGAAGGTGTGGAACAGAGGCGTCAAGAATGGAAAAAGCAACCAGGCTTCTCCAAAACAGTCAAAGTAGTTTGTAAAGACAGGCCCTGGTCGGGCAGGAGTGGCGAGGGTGAGGATGCCTGGCTTCTTCCCACTCTCGAGCACCATCCCTCTGTCCTTTGGGAGGACGGAGCCTCCCAAAGCCTCGTGTCTCCCTGGATTTCAGGGAGGGGCAGAAGCCCTGTGCTCCCCACCGTGGCCAGTCCCTGGCTGCTTTCTGTTCTACTCTCCCCTTTCTGGGGTACAGAATGTGCCGAGGCCCCCAACCAAAAGTTAGGGCCTCCCCGGTTCTTCCTTTAGTGTTTCTGAAGACCTTTGGCTGGTCCCCCGTTAGGTATCAGGAGCCCTTTCACCCATTCAACAGCTGTGCAGAGAGCCGCTTCCATTAGCCAGCACAAGGCCAGGCCAGCTGGGCTGGCGCCGTCCCCCGGCCGCCCCTCCTGGCCAGGCCCTTCAGCAGTGTCGGGAGGAATCACTGATGCTCAAGGCCACGTGATGAGGGACTGGCCCTGCCCCACCCCCAGCCTTCAAACTGCCCGCGGTGACAGATTTGAATCCAGCTATGGCTTCGGTATGATCAAGGTAGGAGTCACAGAGCCCCAGCTCTGGGCTCCCCCCACAACCTGGCTGATTGGACCCCCACTCCTACCCCATAGCACCATGAGCCTGGCAGGGCAAGAATTGTTCTTTGGCCCCATTTCACAGCTGGGGACACTGAGAACCACAGGGGTCTGGTATGGAGAACTCCTAACCCATTCCTCTGCCCCACAACCTCCCCTGGATGCCAGCATGTGCCACCCCTGCAGGCGCCCTCTGCCCCCACCTCTGCCCTCTCTTCTACCTCACCTTTTCCTGAAGACGGCCAGCAGCTCACACACACGCCAAGCAAGAGGGAGTGGCAACATCTGGGCCTTGCTGTCCCCAGGCTGCACCCCACATGCCCGCCCCCCAGCCCTCGGACTTGCCTGCTAGAGTTTGGGCCTCCCTGGCCCCCAGCACCCTGCCCACCCCCTGCCCCAGAACAGATGCCCCCGTCTGTGTGACTGGTATGGCCACCAGAGAGCACAGCAGGAGCAGAAACTGCTTCGTTCCTCACCAGGCTGTCACGAGCAGGTGTGCTTGGGCAGCTGTCACATCCACACCCGACCAGAGTCAGCAAGACAGGCGTAAATTAGCTCTCCCTCCTCTTGCACCCCAGCCTTGCACCTGCCAGAGCCCACGGGCAGCGGGGCAGAACAGTGCTCCCGTGAGCTCCCGCAGGCCCAGACCCAAGCCCAGCCCCAGCCAGAGTGTGACACGCACCGTCAGAGATTCCGCCCTCCACCATGGTGAAGGGGTTCAGCTCCAGTGAGAGCTGGGAGGCCCCAGGGACTGCTGTGAGCACGCCTGTGTGGAGTTAGTGACGACCAGCTGGGATGGGCCCCGGCAGAGGGCCTGAGGGGAGCGTGCTCAGGGAGAGGAGAAACCAGAGAAGGATCCAGAACAAGCCCACTCCTGGGCCCTCTCCTCCCCTTGAAGGTCAGAGCTGGAAGCAACAGGGAGATTATGGCCAACCCTCCACGTCCAAGTCGGAGCACTGAGGCCCAGAGCGGAGCAGGACTGGCCAAGGGGCCTGGTGGAGTGGGCAACCGAGCTGGGGTAGACTGGGGCCCTTCCTGTCCCCACCTGTGCCTGGGCATGGTCCCACAGCGCTGCCCAGAGTCCCTTCCCTTCCTGCTTCTCTCCCCATCAGCACCAGGCACCAGGTAGTTGGGACCTCTGCCTGTCCCTCCGCCCCCCTCCTGGGGCTCTTCCTCTGCTGCTCCCCCTTGTCTCCCTCGTTAATGGGACACTCATTCACCCTGCAACGGATGCTGTGCTCTACTCTGCACCAGGCTCTTTTGCTAAAAGCCACTGGGACAATGACAGTGAATGAGACAGACGTGGTCCCTGCCCATGTGGAGACTGGGTCTAGTCAGATAGAAAATGAGCCAGAAGCGAATTAGAACGAGCAGGGGGAGAGGCAGACAGGGGGCTCCTTTGTCAGGAGGGTCATGGAGGCCTGTCAGAGGCAGCGACACGAAGGCCACAGCACCGGGAGAGGCCGGACAGAGGCGTTGGCGGCGCGAAGGAGTCTAGGCAGGGGACCAGCTCACACAAAGACCCTGAGGCAGATGCGAGCAGGGCCGGTTGGAGGAGGGAGAGAGTCTGGAGCAAAAAGAGGGGAGCTGGGGGCTGCCATGAGAGTGGCAGAGGGGCCTGCGGCCAGCACACGCCAGCACCGCAGCCGCAGGGACCGCAGAGCTCCTGGGACGCAGGGTCTCGGGCAGGAAGTGGCGAGACCCAGTTCATTTTAACGGGACAGTTTTTGCCACTGTGTGTCAATTGCCGGGGAAGGGGTGGCTCAGGGTCAGAAGCAACGGGAGTGATGGCTGAGGCAGCCAGTGGGGGCAGAGAGGACAAGAGGCCACTGGTGGGTGAGGGACAGGCGTCGGGCCCAGGCGATCGGGGTCGTGGGTGGCAATGGGGGTGGCGGGGCCGGCACCCGCCTTCTCCCACTGTCAGCCTGGCAGGCGCTCCGGGAGGGCTGGAACACGCTCTGCCCGCCCTGCCTCTGGGGACGCCGCCCGCTTCTGGCTCTGCCCCTGAAAGCTGTAGGTACAGGTCCGGAGGAGAGGGGTGGCAGTCAGGGTGGGGCACAGGGAGGCCCTTAGGAGGTGACGGGGACTGAGGAGGTAGCCGGAGGGCTGTCGGGGAGTAAAGGCTGGGCTCTGATGCAGGAAGAGGAGCCGTGGCCGTCGCGAAGCAGCCCTGCCAGGGAAGCCTGCGGAGCAGGCCCAGGAGCGGGGGCTCCGGGGCTCCGGCAGGGGGTGGGGGGCTAGCTGGGCCACTGCCCTCGAGAAGCTCGGTGTGGTCAGAGAAAACAGACCTGGGCGTGGTGTCCTTGGTTTGCAAAGTGCTCTCTCACGGTCTAATCAGAGCCCCCCCTAGCCTTGGGAGGAGCCAGGACAAAGGTTTTCGGCCCCTTTGGTGGACAGAAACTAAGAGATGCAGAAAGGCCTAACCCCAACCCTAGCCCCAGGAGCCAGGGGAGGAGCCAAGGTTAGAACCAAACCTCCTGCCCTCCTGTCTAGGTCCTGACTCATCTCAGCCCTCCTCCCCAAGGGACATTGGTGTGAGAGACCCGCCACTTAGTCCCAGGACAGAAAGCTGGAGCAATTGCCTCCGCTAAGCAGAGAAGGCAGCCTGGAAGGCTACCTGGAGGAGGGCAGCCTGCACGGAGCAAGCACCAAGCAAGGCAGGGGGGAGCAGGTGCAGAGTGTGGAGCCAGCCATGCGCCCCCGGGAGGGGAGAAAGATGGCAGTCGGGTTGACTGTGTCTCTGGAAGGGCCCAAGGCCACACAGAGGTCACCTGTCTCCTTTCTTCTCCAGGTCTTTCTCCAGGGAGTCAACGAGCCCCTCGTCAACAACCCCAACCCCATGGTGGTGATTGCCCGGGTGGTTCCCAACTACAAGGAATTTAAGTGAGTGAGGTGCAGGGGCATGGGTAAGGGGGCTGTGGCTGGTTCCAGGAGCTCCCCGCTGGGGGTGAGGTCCCGGGAAGCTTCCCGCAGCAGACCAGCCTTGCTTTCCCCAGGGAGAGCTCAGGCCCCTGGAAAGGGCAGCCCAGACCCCTCCTGAGAGCAGGCTGGGGCGGTGGGCGGATAAGCACCAGTGTGTGGAGGGGGTCCCCACTTCCTGTGGGGGTGCCAGCCCCTCAGCCTGCCTCAGGTCTCACACTCACCCCTCTCTCTCTAGCTCAGAGCCACGGGCTCCAGCTGGTGGCTGTCCCCAAAGGAGGCAGCCTAAGGGACTTCTTGCAACTTCATAACCTTCAGCCCTGCCTGGGAGTCCCCTCCCTCACCCTCCTGGAGGTGTCCCTGGCCCCAGCCCCAACACGTCCCCTCCTCCCCAGACTTCCTTGTGTGTGTGCTGGATTTGCAGCCCTCGGGGGCTCGGGCTAGCGTGGCTGCACAGTGGGGCATGTTCCCCAGTGTTCTCTGGGACAGCACCATCTCCTGGGAGTCGGTGCCTGCCACTAGCCCTTCCACTGGCTCTGATGGCCCAAGAGGACCCGGACTCATCCGCCCCACCTGTTGAGTTTTCATCACCTTGAATCCCCCCTGCTTCTTGAAGGAATGAAAATGTCTGATGCACGCCCGGCCGAGTGACCTCAGCGCGTGCGGACACACACACACACATGCCCTGAATCCTGCCCCTGCAGGTTCTCCAACCCCCCCCCCCACGCCTTTAGGCAGGATTCCCACCGTGGGGGTGAGTCATCTGACTGCATCTTCCAAAGCCGGGCAGGGAACGCAAGGCCCGTTTTAAAGCTGGAGCAGCTGAAGCACTCAGGGGTGGCCAAGGCCAGTCAGTCCCCGCTAAGGGACTGAGCGCTACAGCCCGTCTCCTGACCAACCGGAGCTTTCCCGAGTTGGGCTGGCAGCTGGAGGACAGAGGTCTACCATCCGTGTCAGGAGGTCCGGGCCTGAGCTCGGCAGGCCACGGCACCCTTCTCTCCCATCCACCCAGAGTGCAGTGGGGGCCCTGGGCTGCCCCGCGTGGGCCCGGGCCAAGGGGGCTAACCCTGTCTCTCTGCCTCCCCAGGGCCAGCCAGGTGAACAGGGACCTGGCCTCCGTGGGGCTGCCCATCACCCCCGTCTCCTTCCCCATCCCTTCCGTGATGAACTTTGACGTGCCTCGGGTCAGCCAGAACGGGTGCCCTCAGGTACGGCTCCTCCCCTCGCCGGCTCCCCCTCTGGTGACTGCCGCCCCTCGCTGGCTGGGTGAGCTGCTCCCGGCTACTGAGTGCTGCGTAGCCGGCCGCACTCTCGGGGCGCGAAGCCGCTCAGGGAAGGCGGGTGTTGCCGCGCTGGTTACAGGCGACACCAGGTGATGTGTAATCTAGTAAACCAGGAGCGACTCTCAGAGCCATGGAAATCAGAGGAGAAAAGACGCAAAAGGACAAATATTCCACTTATCCGGAGCACCTGGAGTGGGCACATTCACAGGGACAGAGAGCGGAACAGCGGTTACCAGGGACTGGGAGAGGGGCACACGGGGAGTCATGTTTAGTGGGAACAGAGTTTCTGTTTGGGGTGTTGAGAAAGTTCTGGAAATAGACAGTGGTGATGATTGCACAAGATTATGAAGGTACTTAACATCACTGATCTCTCTACACCTAAAAATGGTTAAAATGGTAAATTTTATGTTATGTATATTTTACCACAATAGAAAATTTTTTAGAAAAATCAGGAGAGGGAAGTGATTAGGGAGGGCAGTCTTGACTTTTGACAGAGGGAGGGTTGGTGCAGGGCAGCTGACAGCAGCAAGAGCACAGGTGAGGGGACACGCCAGTCGCCATCCATGGCGAGTGGACAGGAGGGCAGTCATCTGAGCAGGGGGGTGGGGTGCAGTTCATGGCTGGTCCCGGGAAATGGCCAAATCTATCTCTTCCTGCAGTCCGCACTGCTGTGCGAGCTTGCCCCACACAACGGTCCCAACATTCCTAGAGGCCTTTGAGGCTGGGGGCGGGGGTTCCTGGAAGTCCCTCCTGTTGTCTGCCCACCAATGCTCATGTCTGGCATGGCAAATCAGAACAATACACCCCTTCAGAGCCTCTGCCCCCATTTAAAGGCAAAGACATCTGAAGAAGGCTCAGACACGGGCAAGAGAGCTGGTAGTGGGGAGCAGTAGGAAGAAGGGAAACCCTGGGGACGGAGGCTTCAAACCCAAACCAATCCGTCCTCTGATTTCCCCAGAGTCATCTCACACATGGCCCTGCATTTGCCTAGGAAATTATGAACCAATCAGCAGGCTGTCCCAAGGGGCAGGAGGCACTGCCTGCTTTAATGAGTGGTCCCCCTCCCAGCCTCAGCCCTCTCTGGCTGCCTTAGCTGCTAACTAGTGTGGGGGTCCCCTTAACACAAAGCCTGGCCTCTCCTACTCCCTCACGTGTGGACTTGGAGTCAGAGGTCCGGCAATGGCAGGACACTTGTTGAAGGTCACCCAACACCACAGCAGCTGGGCCAGGTTGACACGAAGGTGCCCAGGGGCGGCAGTGAGAACAGGGGCAGGCTGACCGCCACCTGGAGGGGTGCCAGTCAGCAGCCCTGGGCTCCGGTGCTCACAGAGACCCCTGCCCTGACCTCTCTGGGCTCGTCCCCTCTCCAGTGGAGCGGTGGGGCTGCACTAGGCAATCTCTAAGGCCTGCCCTCTCTGACATCGTGGGGGGCTGTGATTTCCCCCCACTGTCACCAGGCAAAAGCACCTGGGCAAGGCTGGGGAGTTCAACAGACCGGGCTTGCCCCCAGCTCTGTGACTTACTAGATGTGTGACCTCTGGCCAGCTGCTCAATTCTTTCTGCACCTGCCGATTCCTGCCCTGCGGGCTGTTGGGAGAGCTTAGAGGCTAACCTGTGCAAGCGGCCCAGCTGGGGTCCAAGGTCAAGCAGTCTGGCCTTCAAGAGCTGCACCTCCGCTGGTGCCGAATGTCCCTCTGAGGCAGCCTCACCACTGCCCTTGTCCCATTTGGCTCTGAGTAACAGAAACCCCAACTCGGATGGACTTAAACACTAAGGATATTTATTGTCACACATCACAAGTCCCGACACAGGATGTGCCTGTGATGCCGGCTCAGAAGTGTCCTTGAGGACTCAGGATTTTTCCAACACCCCAGAACTGCCATCTTCAGCCGGCTAGCAGCTCATGGGGGAAACATCCCAGGCGCCCCATCCAAATATGACCAAAGACCAAGGGAAGAGCCAAGCCGTCCCTTCTCATGGGTGGATTTTATGAGGAACTGGAAAGCAACCACCCAGCCACCCGGTCGGCAGAGCTCCCTCTCGTCTCATTGGCCAGGGTCGCAGGCACTGCCCTGAGCCTGTCGCTGAGGAGGGGCCACCTGGACCGCAGGGCCACCTGCCAGGAGGAGGTGGGGAGCAGACTGGCTGCTGGCTCAGTGGCCCTCAGTGGAGCTGGCGGTGATGGCAAACCTGAGCTCTGATGAGTTAGGGGACAGGTGGCCCAGACTGCTGCCGCCAACACTGGGTGGCCGTGGGAGTTTCTCCTGCCCCTGGGCCCACACCTTGGAAAGGGGCCCTGGCCCAACAGGCTGCTCTGCTGTCACAGCCTCCTACGGAGCTGGAGGGGCTCCGAGGAGCTGAAACACAAGCCTGTTCCCAAGCTTTCCTGGGGCCCTTTCCACCGCAGGCCCTGCCCTGGTGCTGGCGCACTCTCCAGCCGGGACCCTCCCTCATCCTCTGCCCAGGGCTGGGCCCCTCCCCGGACCTATGGTCTGAGACTCAGCCAGGTCCACAAGGCTTGGCCCTCAGCTGTCCGGTGACACGCGTCCTCCAGCCCCGCGGCCAGCCTGCGGCTCTCCACAGTCGTGCCGCCCTTGCTCTCCCCCAGCCCTCGCCTCGGCAGGCCCCAGCCTGGAGTGGCCTTCCTGTCCTGGGCTGCTGCCCCCATCCCCGTCTGCCCTCCCCGGGCGGAGCCACGGCTCGCTCAGACCTCGTGCTCCCACGGTCACCGCTGGCTCAGGATCACGCATGCGTGTGTCCTGTCACCTTGCAAGACGCTGGCGCCTGGGGCAGCGGCCTGGCCCCGGCTCCCACGTGTGCCCGCAGCACCCACAGGTATCTGGCGTGGAGAAGTCCCTGCCAACACGAGCTGTGTCCTGTCAAATTGCACTGTCACCTTACTAGAAAACACCCTCTGTCGCCTTCAGCCACTTCAGCGTGTGGACACAAAGCATTTCCTGTTGGTTGTTGAGAAAACCTGGTCCCAGAGAGGGAAAGGGACTTGCCAAAGGTCACACAGCCAGGTTGAGGGAGACCCAGGCCCACAGCCAAGGAGTCCTAGCTCCCTGGAGGCCCCACCCCAGCCCCAGCTGCCTGCCCTGCCCTGCCCAGCAAGGCGGCCGCAGAGCAGGCAGTGGTAGGTGTGGGTGGGTGGGCCCAGGATGGGAGGATGAAGGCTGTAGAATGAAGGCTTTGTCCCCAGGGAAGGCGGGTCTGCCTCAGTGGCCGGGGTTACTGGCCTTTCTGCAGATCACAGCTGAGGGTTAATCTCATTCCTTCATTCCACAGCCTGCCTCTCCCGTTAGAGCTGCCGCAGTGCCGGCCCTCACTCTCCCACCCCGCCCCGCACACACCTCAGCCACCAGCACCTTCGCCGGGGCCCTGGCATCAGCCTCTGCAGGTCATTTACCTCGAGTCCACTCCCCACACACACGCAAGAGAGGACAACCCTCCCTCCCCAGTTCTAGGTCAGACGGGGTCTTTCCTGGAGGACTTAGCCTGGGGAACTGTCCAGGGAGGGCTGTCCCTTATTGGGCACTCACCACCTCTTGCTTTGTAGATTCCATCTAGACACATCAATAGGTCCCAGCGAGGACAGCTAGCATCCATTAAATAACCCTCCTCCAGGGTGGGAGCAAGGCACAGGGCAGCAGGGACCAAGTCACACATCTTCCCTGAGTACCCCAGTGCCTGGCAGATGGTCCTGGCCATTTGGACCCTTGAGCACCCAGGAGAGGGGTGGCTCTGGGAGGAGCATGGTTTGAGGATCAATGCTGAATGATCACTCCCAAGTCCCAAAGAAGCCAGAACCAACTTCTTTGGCCTGACATGGTAGCCAAGTGGCTGTCCCTGAGCTCCCACCAGGAGTGTCTCAGGGACCCTCCCATCGCCCCAGTCCCTGTCCCTGTGTTCAGGCCCCCTGGCCCTGCAGTGACTACAACCTGTCTCCCCAGGCACAGAGGCAGACACAGCTGAGCCTTGGGGCTGGGGCTGGGAAAAAGAGGCACATTCTTGTGACAGACATCAGGGCCCTGCCACCACGGGGCGAGCAGACCCACACTGATATTTCATGATCCTCCATCAATAACTGCTGCAGCCCCGGTGTATGTGCGCTGACCTTTCTGAGCAGTGACTGATTCCCGCAGGGGAGCGCGTGGGGGGCAGCAGCTGCCACTGTTGCTGACAGCCCCTGACTCGGGGCAGAGGCGAGGCAGCCCCTCTCTGTGCTGGGACCATGCAGGGCTGCCTGCTGGGAGTTACAGGTGACACCCACCTTCCAGCCTTTGCAGATACTGGGCCTCCTCCTGGAGTCTCCCCTCACGCCAGGTGTCTTCTGTCCATGCCATGCTTGGTGCCACCCCATGGTCCTGCTTGTGCCACTCTGCCCGCAGAAGGGCTTCCCGCCTCCCTCCACCCACTGAAACCTTCCTTCAGAGCCTTCCTCTGCTTCTGCTTCCTCCAAGGCGGCTTTCTGACCACCCCCAGGGAGTCTCATAGAGGTCCTTTATTTATGAGCTTTGGCTAATGCTGCCTTGTTTCATTGCTTAAATCGTACCCACGTGAGTTCCTTCACTGCTGATCACGGTGCCTTCAAGTCCCCAAGTGCGTGATGGCCCTCCCTGCTGACACACAGGCTCCAGAGCCTGAAGACCTGTCCTAGCTTTCCGTGAGGTGCTGGGAACTTGTGTGGGGAAGAGAGGGGGTGTAATGAGGCTGGAAGTCGTGTCTAATTTGGAATCCGTGACAAGCCACGAGTATGAACATTGGTGCAACAGTTTAGGAAAACAGTCTGCCAATAATGAATCAAGTGCCTTAAAATACACATGTCCTTTAACTCAGCAATTCTGATTCAAGAATTTGTGCTAAGGCAATAATTTGAGATACACAGGTGTGTGGCAAAGAACATTCAATGCACTGTTAATACGGGGAAAGTAGGAAGGGAGAACCAGGACACTTGGACATGACAGAATGCCCTGAAGTCACTAAATCATGGGCAACAGGAGTTTTTGTGACTCTAGATGGCTTAGGCTTTGATGGTGAATGAAAACTGCAGGGTGTAGAATGACAAATATATACAAAATATGCATGGAAAAAACTGGAAAGAAGCATACAGTTTTATGAACTGTTGTCTTTAGTGTGAGAACACAGGATTTTGTTTCTTCTTTCTACTTTTCTGTGTCTTCCAAAATTTATTCATTAAAAATTGTGTGTTGGTTTGATAACGGGGACAAACATTTGTGACATAGATAGACACACACCACACACAACCAAATGTCCGCACATGCTTTGATTTGGGAGGAGCTATAGCCCCACCACCTGCTCTCACCCTCTCCCTCCAGCTGTCCAAGCCTGGGGGACCCCCAGAGCAGCCCCTGTGGAATCAGTCCTTCCTCTTCCAAGGCCGAGACGGAGCCACCAGCTTCTCAGAAGACACAGCCCTGGTGCTGGAGTACTACCCCTCCACTTCCAGTAAGTGCCCGGCGCCTCGCCAGGGCAGCACGCTTCGGGAGCTTTGTGTGAAAGGGTGTTCGGGCCACCCCGCCTCTGCCTCCCAGGTGCCGAGGCAGCCTCCCAGTGCAGGCAGAGGAGAGCCTGGCTGCATTCCTTGTCCGAGTGGCAGCTGTGGGGCACGGGCCAGGACAGCTGGGCCTATTCCCAGGCTAGGGCCTGTTCCCATGCCATGTTTTCATTGCACCTGTCAGTGACTGGGAGGGCGGAGCCCTCAGAGCTCACAGGGGTGGCTGGGGGAGACAGGATTTACATCCACTCTATAGGATCAAAACCCCCAAAGGGCAGAGATGAGGGGACCCCTATAAATACCCGGAGACTCAGAGTGCGTTTAGAGTCGGCTTTGAATTCACAAAGCCCTGAAGATGGGCGGGGGAGGGTGTACAGGGATGGCCAAGAGGCAGAAGCAGGTGGGGCGGTGGGAGGGGTGGGAGGTGGGAGGGCTGGACGTGGGCTATGGAGGAGGGGGGGGGGCTTTGGTGGGACCCAGCTGCTCCTCCCCTCAGTGAAAGGCAGCCAGCCGTGGACCCTCACCCATCCCCTGGGCATCTCTGTGTTGCCGCTAAAGAGTCGTTTGTACCGGAAGATGCTGACGGGGAAAGGCTTGGACGGGCTACGTGTGTCGCAGCTCCCCATCATGGTGAGCCCCTGCTGGACTGGGCCCCCACCTGGTCCCACCCCGCCCCTCCCGCCCCACCTCGCCTCACCTCCACGGAGAACTTGGTTTCTGTGAAAGCCGCCGCCAGGCACTCACTGTAGGTGCGGAGTTCCCCAGACCAGAGCACATCTCGCCCCGGGCTGCGGAGACCCAGGCCCCATGTCGCCCCGGGCTGCGGAGACCCAGGCCCCATGTCGCCCCGAGCGACCTGCTGGAGGAGCACGGGGAGGCTCTGGGGGGTAGCACGAGAGCTCAGGCCTTCAGCCAGCCAGACCGGGGTTCGAACCCCGTCTGGCCCCATCCTCGCCGTGGAACATGGGTAAATTACTTACCCTCTGGGAACTCAGAGCACTTGTCTCCAAAATGCGAGCGACGTGCCCAGGACGCAATTTCTGTGTGTAAAAGAGAGTTAAGAGCTCAGCTCGCGAGCCAGACTGGGCCCAATTTCTGGTTCCTGCTCATGGTTACCCACTTACAAGACTGCGGCATCTCGGGCTTGTCCCGCAGGGCTGCTGTGAGGTTCTGTGAGGGAATACATGTAAATGCTTAGAATAAGTTCTCAATGAGAATTAAGACCATTATTATTATCGTCATTATCTATTTCTGTGCCACTTTCCCCCTAAAATGCTTCTGGCCATCCTGACATGTAGACCTCAACAAATGGGAGCTTCCCTCTGCCCGGCAGTGACCTGCAGGTGCCACGCAGGTGCCCAGTGGAGTTGAGAAGGGGCTGTGGAGGTGGTGACGGGGACAGAGGCAGAAGGCCAGCCCCCGCTCCCTCCCACCTTGCTGGGTGCAGCCCCTGGCAGGCACCTTCCTGGGGCATCCAGAACAGCGGGTGGAGCAGAGGCCAAAGCTGCCCTGGCCAGTGTGGTCTGAGTGCCCCTTCTCCTCCCAGAACACCAACCTGAAAACCATAAACGGGGAGGCCCCCACAGTGGATCTCTCCTTCCACCTGATCTCCTCCGAGGTAAGGCTGTGGCCGGCAGGGGCGGGGGCGGTGCAAGGCTGGCAGGCGCGTGCCAGTGCCCGTAGCCCTTCAGTGAGGTGTGGCCTCGTTCAGGGCCTGGGGCCAGGGGCTTCTGGACAGAGGGTGCTGCTGCTCTGGATGGACAAGTCTAAGGGTGAGTTGAGGCTCCAGAAGATCAAAGAGAAAGCTGAAATTAGGAGGAGGGAAGTTGAGAGCAGAGGGCCACCCAGACCTGAGAGACAGCCTCTGACCCAAGCCAAGCCAAGCCTGGCTCACTGGTATCAAGGTTCTACAAGGGTGAACTAGGACATCAGTTTTCTATTACTGCATAACTAACTTAGCAGCTTAAAACAATACCCATCTATTAGCTGACACTTGTGTAGGTGGGTAGTCCAACACAGCAAGCCTGAAATCAAGATGTTGGGAGGGTCACACTCCTTTCTGGAGGTTTCCAAGCTCATTTAAGTTGCTGGCACCATCCAGTTCCCTGCAGTCAGGACTGGTATCCCAGTTTCTTTGCTGGCTGCCTGCCAGGACACTCCCAGAACCCCCCCCCCATCCCAGCACCACGGAGAGGAAAATGGGAAAAGCATGGGAAAAGCCCAGCCGGCCAGGTGCCCAGGGGCCAAGTGGCCAGGGACCAAGCGGACTCAGCGCTCAGGTGCAGCTGGCTGGAGGAAGAGAGGCACCGTCAGTGCGGTCCCAGCCCCGGGCATCTTTCCGTTCCGACCAACCGACTGGGGCAGACAGAATTCCAAAAATGGGTCCCCAGGATCCCACACCCTAAATATTGGAACCTGCGAATACTGCGTGCTTCCCCTGCCATGACTCTGTGGTGCTACGCAGCACCATTGACCTCACGATAGGAGAGTAGATGAAGCTCGGAGACGCTGGTAGGGCTGGTGTCGGGCCCAGCCCACTCCTGCCAGCTTCCCACGAGGGAGAACTACCCCCCAGCTCCGGGGCAGTACTTGGCCCTGTGACCTCACCCACGCAGAGCACAGAGAGTCCTGTGGTGCGGGGCATAAGGGGTATGTCTGGGCAGGTCCCAGCCTCAACGTGTCTTCACAAGGCCTCTGGTGAGGGCCTGAGAACTCCCCTTAGCACCCCCTGCCATGGGGGTTCAGCACTGCCCTCTCAAGGGTCCCCTAATACCTGGGTGAGAGAGAGCTAGCTACTCCCTGGCAGCCCCCGCCCCAACTACCAAACCAGGAATAAGAAGATATTAAAAGAGGAGGGCAGGGAAGAAACAAAGGACCCCAAGAAAGGGGCAGCAGGATCTTGGAGACAAAGGTCACAGACTTCCAGATTGGAGCCCAGGCCTCTTCCCAGGGTCAACAGTCTGCCAGTGGCCATTGCCAGTCCCTCCTCCCCTCCCCCGCCTACTGCCCCCTTCACTGGGGCACATGTGTCCTGGGAGTGAAAGAGTGTCAGGTGCCCTGGTCGGGCCTGGTGGGCCCAGGCAGGCAACAGGCAGGTGGGCAGGATGCTTCCCCCATGGCCCAGGGGCTGGGCCAGGTCTCCAGTAATGAATTATTCACTGGAGCTGAGCTAAGTGCAGAATTAATCCCTTTCCTTCCAGCTGGCGGCCTCACTAAATTACCCCTCCAAGCCATGCGGGAAAATGCTGTGAATTCATTTAGCTGCTGAGTGTTTTGATCTGGGCCTCATGATTTTAGCGGTCCCTTCCCCCAGCCCCCTCCCCCTGGAGGCGGGTAGAAAAAAACCTTTTAGTAATGGATTTCTGAGAAGAAAGGAAAAGAAAGGGATAGAGATTGGGCGTGTACCAAGAAAACAGTACGAGCAGATTGTGCAGCCAAGAATTTATACACACAGACTGTGCACATGTACATGCTCCCATGCAATCACATGCAGATGTCTCCACGCGGACAGCCACATATGCACGGATGAGTGCAACACCCTTGCAAGGGTGCACACACTCAATGCATACGTGCATGCTCTCACACACGCAACCTGACACGCAGAAGCCAAAACTCTTTGTAGCTTAACTGTTTTTTGGTGAAACCATTGAGAGTTGGCCAATAACTGATTCACTTTGGTTCTAGAATCTTAAAGATCAATTTAGGGGCCTGAGTATGAAGTGCTAATGGCTAGACTCACCAGAAGGTTCTTGCTGCCACAGGACCCACCCATTTATTCTTTTATTTCACATATACTTGAGCAGGAACCACTACATGCCAGGCAGCATGCAGGGAAGGAAGTAGAACGTTGGCTGCGCTTGTGGGTTGCAAGGGGAGGGGCCAGCGGTCATGGAGCCCGTCTGCTCTGAGGTCACCCTCATCAGGCTTGGACATGGCTCTCTGCTGGCGTCTGAGCCCTTCTGGCACCCTTCTTCCTAAGGGAGTGACAGGACAGCGTCAGAACTGAACAGGGCAGAGGGCATGCAGCTGTCTGAGGGGACACCCCCTTCTCCATCCCACACCTCCATCTTTACTGCGATACCCCCTTGTCCTCCAGGCAGCACAAACGTGGGGCACCCCCGCTGCGGAGCAGATACTGTTCTGAGTGTTAGGGGTATTACATAGAAGAAGACAAAAATAGAAAGCCCTCCTATCATAAAGCTTACATGTCAGACAGCAGGAAGTGTGGCCAATGAACAAATAATTTAAAAGCAGGGATCAGCCAGTGACAAGTGGCCTGAGAAAATGCAAACAACATGATGTGATGGGCAGTGCTCGGAGGAGCTATTTGGTTCCATGTAGTAGCCTGGTAAGGCCATGAGCTAAGTTGCTATGAAAAAGAGACCAGGGCCTGCACCTTATTGTCATGTCTGAGGTGTTGCCTGCAGCTTAATGGTGGCAGGTGCCTGACCCTCACCCCTGCGTCACAGCCCGTGCTGAGGCAGTGCAAGGCAGTGGCTGTCCATCCTTCCACCATTTAAACCAAACACTTCTTAAAGGTACAGGCGCCACCACCAGACACCTGGAAATCTTAGGGTCCTTTGGACACTCCAGCTGCAGGGGGTTGTGATGGCGGGCTCCTGGGCCCCTCGAGCACCTGGTCAACAGCTCCATCTTAGGGACGGCTCTTTGCACATGGTGAGACACGGCAGTGCTGTCACAGAGCAGAAATGCTTCAGGAGAAATGGACATGCAAGCCTTATTTGGGAAGAGCCCCAGCCTGAGTACACAGTCTCTTTCCCGTGAGCCTCCACGGCCGGAGGTTTGGGCACAGGCTGTCCTGAGTAATTGGGCATTTTGGTGACACAGCCTCCCCACACCAACTGCTTCCACATCAGAACTCTCAGAAACTTCCACATAGGCAGAGACGGACGGCAGAGGCCTCTCAGCAGCCCACCTGGGCAGGAATCCTTGGCAACAGGCAGCACAGGGGTCGTCCCACCTCTCCTCCTGCTCTGCCACCACAGGGAGCTCGCTGCCTCCAGAAGTAGCCCCTGCAAGGCTTTTTGAGCCCAGACTGCCTCTGGGGACCTCCTCTGCCCCAGGTTCCTGGCTCTGCCCTCGGGGCTGTAGGGCACTCCAACAAGGGTGGGACAGGCAGGGCCCGCCAGCGTGCCTGCGGGCAGACCAGATAACAGAGTCTGCAGTCTCGGTGAACCACAGGAGGTGGCCTCTGGCTTGGGACATTGTACTTGAAGGTGTTTTGTTGGTGATGGGTTAGTTTTCACCCTCTGGTGGAATCTCTCTATAAACTGGATTTATGTGTGCAAGTGAGTAAAAACTAGAGAAACAAGTAAACTCACACACACAAAACTTCCCTTTATTGCACATCGAGTGGGGTCAGCCTTTGAGGTCCTTTAGGCTCTGAGAATCCACAGCCTGTGGCTGCTCCACATGCACATGCACAAATGAACCTGCGGTCTCCTCCAAGCCCTCTGGTCTCAGCCTCTTCACTTTGAAGAGCGTGATGTGGTCCCCCCGGGAGTCTGCACTTCTCCGGCTAAGCAGCCTGGCTCTTTAATGAACTGGTTTCATGATCCCGCAGCATCCTGGGTGCCCTCCAGCTTGCAGCCAGCCTCTTTGAAGTGAGGCCCATGCTGGCCAGGTTTCCTGGGCTGACCCACGTGGATGGGAGCCTGGTATGCACACAGTAGGTGCTCATTGTGTAGGTCCCTGCCTCTCCGCCTGGGAGTGCACCTCCCCACGAAGTCATGTGTGTGTTTGGCAATATTTCCCTCTTGGGGTTAGGATTTGGAATCCATTGTCTTGCCCAGGTGGAGCACAGGGCACAGGTGGGGTCAGGCTCCTCAGACAGGTGACCACCCTCCTCGCCTCACAGCTGAGAGCTGCCGGGAGGACATGGAGCCCACTGGCTCCCTGGGATTTTAGCACAGGGAGGGTGCATTTGAGGAGAGGAGGTGGTGGCCACTGTGCCACCACTCAGGAAAGGGCCAGCTGCCATGGTCCCATCTGACCCTCCCCTCCCTCTTCCCCTCATGGAAAGCAGGTGGGGTGAGTGTCGATGCTGTCCTAGTGGGGTTTTCTTTCAAACTAGCTACAAAGCTCTCTCTGGAGACCAGGTTAGAGTGGGGACAAGTGGCTACTTAGCAAATGTAGCAGGGAGGGCAGGGGACAGGCAGAATCATGCTGGCTTTTGAAGAATTGTCATGGATTTTGGAAGCCATGCACAACAGCCCTGGGATGGTCCTTAGAGAAACCCCAACACAGACCTGCCTCCATTTCCTCCCCCGACACTGCTGCCCGAAAGGACCGGTGCCGGGACAGCACAGCCAGTGGGTTCAGTCCTCTGGAAGGTTCTGTCCCCACACCCAAAACTCCAGCTCTGAAAACACTGTCACAAGGATGCCAATAGATCCAGAGAGAGACCCTTTCGCTCCTACCACCTCACAACGTCCCTGCCGTCCTTCCTCCCTGACCCAAAGGCCCTGCCCTCCCGTCCTCTCGCTGCCCCAGGTCAGATGGCAGGAGGCAGCTCCCAGGCACCCTTTCCCTCACCTGCTCAGGTTCCAGGTCCAGTTTAGAGCCCCTCCCACCAAACCCAAAGGAAGCTGGGCACAG